CAGCGCCGCTAGGGATTCTCGGGGTACCTGGCACGGTAGGGAGGCGGGTGCTCATTTATTTTATTTAAAGGCCTGTCTTTTTATAGCTTGGCTGCTTGGGTTTGTTTTTTTCTGCTCCTGATGAAATGGGGGCAGGTGACTGGGTTGACATGATTCAAGGGATGCTCGTCTGTGACACTGGGGTTAGCGTGAGTCAGGGGATGCTCATCTGCGCGGCCGCGATTAAGCTATTGACGCCTGCGAAATTGCTCTTTGCAAAAGCCAGCTATCAATTATGGGCTTGGATTAAAAGGAGCCTGGAATATTTTACATATTGTGCCTTGAATGAACCAGGCTCCCGTGGTGTGTGGTGCTCCAGGGCAGAAGCCGACCACCCTGCGAGTCCCTCGTGTGGGTGTCTGTGCAGCCACGGCCGGCGGTGGGACCTGCTCCTCCCGACGACCACAGCCCATCAGCCTGTCCACTGGGGTTGTGCAACCTGAGGCAGGGAGAGGGACCAGAACACGAATAACCTGTTTCTGTTTTCCATAGGCTAAATGCAAAACCAGCAGGATAAGAATAGCACCTCCCCATATCTGCATATCAAAGAGCAGTAATGATATCATCCCTTTGGGTTTAGTGAGGTTATTGGCAATACTGCACCTTCTTACAGTTAGGGGGAGAAACTGGTGGTGGAGTTCTTTGTTTCTTCAAAAAATCATGTTTGTCTATATAAAGATAGTTTCTTCTAGCTTGATCCTGAATACAACACAAATCAGAAAAATCTACCCTCAGATGCAAGGTAGTGGCTTTGGTTACTCTTTCAGCTCTCTTTCAGCCCAAAGAATACTGCTCCCTCTGTTCGAAACAGCCTGTTGTTGCCATCTGACTCTAACTCAACGTTTTAGATGGTTGCCACCTGCCTCTGCAAGGTCAGCCAGATTTAACCGAACTCAAACCAGTACTTTTAGTGTCAAGTCCTAATACTGCTCATTAAAGTACAGAAGGGATGATTGCTTTGCACAGCCATAGCAGCAGCCTTTCTTCATCTCTGTGTATGGATACATATGCAAAATCATCAACAGTATGGAAGGTGGTTCTCTAGTGAGAAGTACTTAGATAGCTGCAAGGCAGGGACATGTGGCACAAAAATGCAACTACAATACTATTGGTTTAATTTTATTTACGGAATTTTCTGCTTTGCATTTGGAAGAAGTGAACATAAGGGACAAACAACTGTAAGAACTGCATGTCTGACTGTTGTTACAGTACCTCAGAGGTCTGAGGCACGTTCCCGGGAAGAGTTCAAAAGACTTGTTAATTAGAAGTGATTGCCCTTGAAGCTGACTGATGATTGAACCTAACCCAAGAGCAGAGTGGACTTGCTGTGATTTATGACAATGACACTACTCACTGCATCAACCACATTATTATTTTTTCTTAATTATAGGTTCTTTGTTGCTGTTCTCCTCTAATTAAAGCCATTGCACTAATTTTTAAAAAAGTGATTGCTGCTTGAATTCAGAGACATAAAATATACAGCACACATAAACACCAGTTGACTGAAACCCACTCCTACCTCATCGCTTACCACTGCCTGTATCCCAGTAGGGTCCTATGGGAGCTCTTCTACTGCATGGATGAACACAGTTTTGGTATTACAATCTAATGCAAGATGAAGTATCACAGTTCAGTGGTGATCAAGCAACAAAGATTCAAGAGAAAAAAAAAAAAAAAAAAAAAAGATATTTAATTGCTTGACATATTTAGTAGATAACACAAATGTGTAAATCAAATACACTGGTTGCCTTGATAGGCAGATTGCTGTAACCACTTCTCATATGTTACCTTTGCATTCACTTCCTTCATAGTGTGGCTGGCATTATGAAGTTAGAAGTTAGAAAATTGATACATACTTTGTCAGCATTCTGCCTTAATGAGGACTCACATTGTGCTTTTTTTTCATTTGTCAGTACTATCATTTCTCTTCTTTGCAGATCAAAAGCTAGATTTTGGCAATGATGCACACTTCAAACTTTAACCCCAAACCAGCCTTATGTAGATCTTTGACTATCTAAACCCCTGTCCTCTGCACTTCAGCAGTCAGCATCACATTCTTTCATATTTCTCTGCAGTGTTTCTGAGTGATAATGTGTGATACAGGAGTACAGGATCTTACCCACTCCTTACTCTTCCTTCCTTAATAGCAGAAACCTCCTTAATGCAGAATCCTCCGTAACGCAGTATAGCAACAAGTAGCTCATCGTATCCTGGGTCTCTGTGCCCCAGCACTCCTGTTCCTACAGGAAGTAAATTAGTCTTCCTTTGTTTGGCATGTGGGGAGCCTGAGGGTGCCCCTCAAGCCACAGGCACTGTTTATGTAGCAATTCAGTAGCAAAAGCTATGACTTTTCTAATAGCAGAAAGACTGGACTCTAGGGGTATGCATCTCAATCTTTATGAAATGTGTATCATGGAGAAAATTCCTCTTTTCCAATCTTGATTTTGAGCATCTTCCACATAGAGATGCTGTGTTTTCCATTGCACATGTTTAAGACCTTTATTGTAGGAAGAGAAAATGACAGTGCAAGAAAGGAAGGTCAAGCTGCAGCACTGAACAAAATTAATTTTTATTATTTTTAGGGGGATGTTTGCTCTTTTATATGAGCAAATTCATTCATGGTTAATTTCAGCCAACAGAAGGAAACTGGGTTGGATTCTGGGGAAGGAAGGACTAGCCCAGGGGCCCTGGGGCTGTAGAGAACCTAGTGTAGTGTTTACAGAAACATTTCATTTCTTTTTAAGAAATAAAGTCCTAACTTTAGATTGCTAGTTGGTCTATGATACAGAGCCAGTCTAAAGAGTTAACACCTTATCCTGGAACAAGGCCTGAGGTAAGAGCTTGAGCAAAAGGGAAAAGCATGAAGAAAAACGATGTGCTGACAAATTTTGACTGTGTGAAGTTGTTTGCAAAAAATACATCAAACTTTTATATTTAATTAAGTAATAGCTAAATTAGAAACTGGAATGTAAATGTTTCCTCCTTTAAGAGTTTTTTTGAGCCATAGAGATTTTGCTCCAACATAAGCTTCATCATTTTGAGCGTATTGTCACTTAATGTTCCCTTGCAAGATTTGTGTGGGTGACATTCCAGCACAAACCAGCTCCAAACAGATCTTCTAGGTTGAAAACAGTTTGTCTCTGTTCATATAGTTGAATTAAACTTTTTCAGCAAAGTCAGCTGTTGTTTCTCTAATTAACCTCTAGACTCTTAAATACCTTCACTCCAAACGTGACAAATTGACTATCCAAAAAGTCATTAAACAGAGGAATTACTCCAGGAAATAAAATAGAAAGACCTTGTTTTCAAATTCAGTCTTATCTTATTCTTTGTGTAGTAATGCTAAAAACCCCAAGGGTTTACCAGATAAAGGCTGTATCAAAGTTGTTAGTAGGCCTCGAAAAGGATGAAAAAGAATAATAATAATAGTAAAATTTAAGACTTAAGGTAGATGTTGAATCTGCATGTGGGAAAGCAAATTATCAGATGCCCGCTGGATTATTTGCAAACTCTCTGTTGTGTGACTCCTCCAGTTTCATGTTGCTGATTTCAGCCCCACTGTTCCAAGTTTCTCTCAGTGAGTGAAGTTATCTGTCACTGGATTTTATTAGGGTTTTTTTGAGCAGATGGCTGATTCTTTTCACCTGGAGAACTGCCACTTTCTTTAGATACATGTCAGGTTTTATGATAGTCTAATTTATCTGTTTACTTGAGAAATAAGTAACTTAAATTACGAGGGTGTTATCATTTCACTGGCCTCAGAAATGATGATAGATTTGCTGCATAACCTGGAAAAAAAACACAAAGAGAAAATAGTTTAAGCCATTGGTAGATGGACTGCTAGCCATGAAAAAAACAGTCCAGGTCATTGTGGCATCTGTGATAGAGTTTCGTAGCTGGTTGCTGGATATTCTGCTTTATATATCAGGTTGCAGATTTACATGAGGAATAAACTTGCTCTGTGTAGCCATTCATCTGTACTTATGTCTAGATTTCTTATTTCTGCAGGTTGCCTTTTATCAGAATGTATTCCAGAGTTGGAATTACTCCTTGTTTGTTTGTACCAGGTTGTTCTTTTCCTGCTGCTTCTTCTGTCCCGTCTGAATAATTCTGCACTAGCTCATTGTGAAGCTGCCAGATACTCCTTACTCAGACGTTAATCACAAGATAAAGACTGGTTTGGTATTGGTGATCTGGCCAGCGGTTATTTTCTTGCTTGTCTTTGGGCACAGTTTAAGGTTAGCAATAAATAAATAAAGGCTTACAGAGAAGAGCACCTGACTTGTAAAGATGCCTTCATAGCCAGCAGTGACTACAGATGAAGGTTCATTTTGAGTACTTGGGCTTTGACCTGCAGCCCACAGAAGGAGAGGTCTTGTGTTTGACCTCATGAACATCTGTCACTGCTTGTACCCCACTGATGAGAATAATGCAAATTTTGCTTCAGTCACACATGCTTCTGAAAATGTCCTCTGCCTTCTACAGAGCTGTTTAATTAAGTATGAATAATCTCTCTAAATTCTACTCTTGCAAGTTCTCCTTTGGTTGAATGTTGATGCCCTTAAAAGTCCCAGGTTTTACAAAGGAGCCACGCAGGCAGTATGACCTTGCTAAAAAATTAATACAAATCGTAGGCTTGTCAATAGGAATCAATCACTACTTTAATTAATTAGCTATGTATGCCACCCTGGCTATGCTGATAAAAGATGTATCCAGGTAGCTGGCACCAAGTTTAAGCTGACCAGTATTCCTTGGTGAAAGCAAACCAGAATTTGCCTCTGTGGTACAGAGAACTAATGGTACAGTTCAAGCATGCATTTCTAACCATGAAATAAAGCTAAAGAAGAATAACTGTATAATCCAGGCCATTTGGGTTTTTTTTTTTTTTCAACTGACTAGGGAATCCCCATTTTACCCTTTTTACACAAATTTAGCATTAAAGTTTCTGTTTCTTGTAATCCCCACAGACCTCCTGTCAGCATGGAATATACATCTATTTCTTTTCTTTTTGATCTTAACACTTGTAAGTAATAAATAATTGATTGCCAAAGGAATTCTGGGAATATATTCAGCCTTAAATTGAGCACTAAACTATTTGCAAATGTGCTTAGGCACTAGCCCAAAAGATACATCAAAAGAATGTCAATTGGATATTGGGAAGTGAAGTGCCCTCATATGTTAGAATTAGGAAGCATGAAATATAAGTAGAGGGATAACAGATGTCAGATCTGCTACCAGTAGTAATAGAAAAAGGTATGTTTTTATAGAAGGCTATAAGATTTTGTTCAAGCTAGACCACACTTTGATTTCAGTAATGACACTCCAGACCTTATTCAGGGAATGTATCATTTTTGACTGTTGTCTTGAAACTGGGGTTTGACAGTGCACTCACCCCAGAGATATCTACAACTTAGTCTGAATGGTCTGTGAAATAAATCTATGAGAAAGAACTGGGGTATATTTACTGCAGTGACTGGCCATTTTTGATACTAATGACAGTCTTATTTCACCATGGCTACAAGCCCCAGCATAAGCTTGGTCAGTAAACTTGGTCTGTGCTGCTGTGGGTAGACCATAGGGTCTGAACTAACATGACTACACCTGCACTGCTTTGCTTTCAATGGGGTCATACCCCAATGTCTGGATATCTGTGAATAAATTTAGATGTTGTGGGATGTTGGCCTTGCCACTGCAACTGAAGCTCATTTGCTCTTCATCAAGCACATCCTCTTATAATCCATTTACAAACACAGAAATGACAAGAAGGTAATGACAAGGAAGAACGAGGATGGATTTATTAACCAACAGTAAATCATGATTGACCAACCTGGTTGCTTTTTATGGTGAAATAGCTGGCTAAAAAGATGAGAGGAGAATGATGGATGTAATATATCTTCTCTTCAGTAAGGTTTTTGACACCATAGCATTCTTATCGGGAAGCTGAGGAAGTATAGCTTGGATGAATAGACTCTTAGATCAGTTGAAAACTGCCTGAACCACGAGGTCTGAAGAATTATCAATGTCCTGATGCTCAGTAGTTGTGTACCCCAGGGTTGATATGGGGATGATATTGGTCAGCATTTTTATTCTTATCAGTGAGAATACAAACTCAGAAAACTTGTGTGTGGTGCTAAATTAAGGGAAATGATTAGCATCCTGAACAACAGAGCTTCAGTCTAGAGGGATATTGAGACACTTGTGGATTGGACCTTAAGACATTCAGTAAGGTATGTGAGTCTTGATAACTGGAGCAGAATAAGCTCATGCAGCAATACAGACTGGGAACTTACTGTGAGAACTGAAAACTGAGGGCAAATTTGAGGACAAGTGCCCCAGTTTGCATCTTGGGAGATTCAAACTGGACATTAGCAAAATTTTTCCAGTAGGAAGACAGTATACTACTGGAATACATTATTTGGAAGAGTTGTGGAATCTCGATCCTTGGAGGTTTTCAAGACTCAGCCAAATAGAGCCACGGCTTGTTTGATTTAGAGTTGGTGATTGTCTTTGAGTGGGAAGTTGGT